CAGAATCACCAACATAACTTTGAAGCACCAAAATTGACCATAAAATCGCGAAAATAGCCATGAAGATTCTTAACTGGCCCAAAAACGCCAAAAAGTGCAGCAAATCCAAATAGCTTGACCACGCCAAAACTTTCTAAAAACCCTCTAAATCCCCTCAAAAATTGCTCAAAAATCGTCGGTTAATAGAAATATTAAACGTGGTCTCAGAACTGTCAAAAATAGTTAAATATATTGTTCTCAGAAGTTCCAAAATTAATCCTGGCAACGAAAAAATGGTCCCTCCAAAGTGGCTTTAGCATAGCCAAAATAACTCAGAATCACCAAACTAACATTGAAACACCAAAATGCCCAAGCAACATTGCAAGTTTTATCAAGGTTTTAAAGCATTCTACAAGTCTGAATTACGGTCTACAGAACCCTCATAAAACCAGAAATGTTACTTGGGTGGTCTTTAAGATTTTTAAATGGCCCAAAAAATGCCAAAATGCTCCACAAATCCAAATCGCTTGATCAAGCCAAAACTTTCTAAAAACACTCTTAGTCGTTCAAATCACGAAAATTGCTAAAAGGAAATCGTTAAAACTGGGTTTCAGAGAGGTCAAACGGGGCCTTAGAACTGCCAAAATTGGTTAAAAATGTTTTTTTTTTATTCCAGAAATGGTCTTAGAGACGCCGAACATGGCCTTCTTGAAACTTCAAAGTTGATTTATAGAAGCCAAAATAACGCAAAATCACCCAAATAACTTTGAAAATACAAAAAAAAAGACCGTAGAATCTCCAAAATTGTCTTTAAGGTTCTTAAATGGCCCAAAAATGCCAAAATGCTCCACAAATCCAAATCGCTTGATCAAGCCAAAACTTCCGAAAAACACTCTAAGTCTTTCAAATCACAAAAATTGTGAAAACAAAATCGTCAAAACTGGTTTTCAGAGAGGTCAAACGGGGCCTTAGAACTGCCAAAATTTTGAATCTAGAATTTTGAATTCTAGAAATGGTCTTAGAAACGCCAAAAATGGCCTTCTTGAAAATCCAAAGTTGATTTATAAAAGCCAAAATAACGCAAAATCACCAAAATAACTTTGAAAACACAAAAAATGACCGTAGAATCGCCAAAATTGTCTTTAAGATTCTTAAATGGCCCAAAAATGCCAAAATGCTCCACAAATCCAAATAGCTTGGGCAAGCCAAAACGTCCTAAAAACACTGTAAGTCTATCAAATTGCAAAAATTGCGAAAACAAAATCGTCAAAACTGGTTTTCAGAGAGGTCAAACGGGGCCTTAGAACTGCCAAAATTTTGAATCTAGAATTTTGAATTCTAGAATTTTGAATTCTAGAAATGGTCTTAGAAACGCCAAAAATGGCCTTCTTGAAAATCCAAAGTTGATTTATAAAAGCCAAAATAACGCAGAATCACCCAAATAACTTTGAAAACACAAAAAAATGGCCGTGGAATCTCCAACATTGTCTTCAAGGTTCTTAAATGGCCCAAAAATGCCAAAATGCCCTACAAATCCAAATTGCTTGATCAAGCCAAAACTTCCTAAAAACACTCTAAGTCTAAGAAATCACGAAAATTGCTAAAACAAAATCGTCAAAACTGATTTTCAGAGAGGTCAAACGGGGCCTTAGAACTGCAAAAATTGATTTTTTTTTAATTCCAGAAATGGTCTTAGAAACGCCAAAAATGGCCTTGAAATTCTAAAGATAATTTATAAACGCCAAAATAACGCAAAATCACCAAAATAACTTTGAAAACACAAAAATGACCGAAGAATCTCCAAAATGGTCTTTAAGGTTCTTAAATGGCCCAAAAATGCCAAAATGCTCCACAAATCCAAATCGCTTGATCAAGCCAAAACTTCCGAAAAACACTCTAAGTCCTTCAAATCACGCTTGCGAAAACCAAAATCGTCAAAACTGGTTTTCAGAGAGGTCAAACGGAACCTTAGAACTGCCAAAATTGGTTATTTTTTTAATTCCAAAAATGGTCTTAGAAACGCCAAAAATGGCCTTGAAACTCCAAAGTTGATTTATAAAAGCCAAACTAACGCAAAATCACCAAAATATTATGAGCGTAGAAACGCAAAAAAGGCCTAAGAGCTGCCATAATGGGTTAGAATCTCCAAATTGTTCTAGAACAAAAGCATGGTATTCACGGTTCTAAAATTGGCCCAAAAACGCCTAAAAGCCCACTGCTTACAAGCACAAAAATTTATTTAAAAAAAAAATCACCAAAAATTGTTTTTAGAACGATCAGACATGGCCTCAGAATGCGCCAAATTTGTTTCAGAAATGCCAAAATGGTCTAGAATAACCGGCATAATTGTGAAGCATAATACCGAAAAGTGCTACTTTTCGACACACTTTTTTTTGTGTGCTGCTTTTCGGCACACTTTCGAGTGCACGAAATGTTGCATGAAACTTGTTGCAAAATCCGATTTTTTTCACCACTCGGCGTAATTATCCAACTCGGTCAGCCTTGATGGAAAAATGTTGACTCGTTATGACAACAGCTAAAATTCCCATTGTTTCAACAATTTGACGTAAATTTTGCTTTCAATGTAAGAATTTTGCTATTGGTTGATATTATTGATCATTGGAAATAATGCATATGTTTCCACTCTCGTGTTAATGGATTTAGCATCCTACGACAAAGATTGAAATACGGTCGAGTTGTGAATGAGTAAAATTGACTTTCTTTGAATATAACTAAGCTAGGTTTGGAGTCCAATTTCAAACAGATTTTGCTCAAAGGAACTATTCTCGGATTTTTTTCCTGGTGAAAATAAAATTACAACTCTTTTGCGGTTTCCCCAGCTGTTAAGCTTTAGCTGTTTTTTGAATAACTGTGGTCAGATTTGTGATTTATAATCTAAGCGTGTTTTTCTAAACTGGCAGCAAAAAATAACAAGTAACTTTCAAATTAAAAGTTCGAAAATAATTGGTGAGTCTCAGTTGTGTAATTTTACTGAAAATAAACATCAGTTCAAAAATGGTCACTTATGGAACACTTATTGTTGACACCTCTTTGCCCATTAAGACGTTTCAGTTTTGAAAAACCGTCGCCCACTGGTCACCATAGCCGGTCGAACTCCAGACGAAACTAGAACCGCACTACCGTTCCTACTGGCGACAACGCTCTGATGAGACAACGAAACCTTACCCCCAAGCTCCTCCCCTGATCCTATCCTACTACAATGTACCTCTCTAACTTCGAGTAAGCCGCGGCCCAACTCCTACTAGACATAGAATTGAGTGAATTTTGTTACAAACAATAAACTATCGGCTCCGTAAAGCTAACGCGATTGAGCCTTCCAAGTAAACGAACTAGAAGTCAACCCTAGGGTGCTTCATTTCGGAAAAAGAATTTAATATCTGCTAGGCCACCATCCAGTTCGATTCATAGCCCCAATATGTGGACGTGTGCAAAAATTGGTATAGATTGATGATGGTTTAGAGGTAGCGCCAATGATTTCAAAATTTGTATGGGAATTACCAAATTACCAAAAAGCCAATCAGTCGCCAACGATCAGTCAGTCTGGACCCATACACAATTTCAGAAATCGACTAAATTTTCAATTCAATAAATGCCATTTCCCAGCTACAACCAAAGTTAGACCAATGTAAGTGAAAGTCAATAATTTCCCGTACCAAATAATTCACCGAAATCTTTATACAGAATTCAAATCATTGGCGCGACCTCTAAACCTTGATCAATCTTTACCATTGTTTGCACAGGCTCATATTTTAAAGTTATGAATCGAACTGGAGGGTACCCTATCAGAAGTTCATAACCTTTTTTTTTATAATGAAGCACCCTATTGTACACACTCGAATAAATTTTCACTTCAAAACCCTTCAGTGTCTTATATTTTTCTTCAGTTCCTTGATGTTACTTCTAATACATAACATGCATTTCCGGTTCGGTCTAGACCGAGGGGGCGACACATCTAAATCTCCATTTTAGATGCTCAACAAATCTCACACTAGCGAATCAATCTTCAAAAAATCTTCTTTCATTTCTCGCATCGCGCATAATCGTTTTGCAGGAAATCATCAGAATCGTCATCAATCTTCTTTCTACCTACTCAGCGTGCAAGCAGCTAACCGCAGTCAAACACAATTTTTCCTGCATCGTAGATAGAGTCGCCCCCCTCGGTCTAGACAATGTTTTGAGTTGGAAATGTACTCGACTTTTCTGAGCATAGAATATCATTGTACTTGCCACACAATATACGAATTCATGCATAGGTTTACATAGAAAGCTCTCAATTAATAACTGTGAAAGTGCTTCAAATAACACTAAGTTGAGAATAGGCGTAAGTTCGTGTAAGAGCTTCAAAGCCATTAATAAAAATAATTATAAAATCATTGGGGAAAATGGACAATTTAAAAAAAAAATACTGGTCGTTCGAGTCGCGACTTCGAGATGTGTTAATCAAAATCTTATCGCAAGTCTTCCGGAAATTAAATCCCACCGAAAACCTCGCCGGAAATAGCCATTAAACCTGTTCCAAGTGCTAATTGGATTCCCGGAAACTCCAACAGCAGAACCGCGAGCTTCCATTATCGCCCAGCTACTAATCTTCTATTATTTAGCCTGATCGTCTAAAAATACCACTTGTTACTCGCCCTTTACATTCCGTTCGTCAAGCACTTGACTCTGGTCGCCGAGCGAACGAATGAATGGGGCGGAGGAAAATCCACCACTCAACCTAGAACGAATCACTCGTCGTCGCACGCGGCGACACCGGAACGGGACCTAGGCTGGGAAATTCCCTCAAACCCTCGTTACGAATATCGAAAGATCTCAACGGATCGACAGACACGAATCCGATGCCGAAGCATCGTTCAACAGGTTGCCAGAATTCTACGACTGCTCATGCGCCCTAAATCCCGAAATCCCGCCCACGCCCCTTTCCCAGCAGAACGACTGCCATTCTCGGCGGGCTAGACTTCAATGCCCGAACCGACTAAAAAGATAGGCTACCTACCTACCTTGAGTGTAAAATCACCAAAGTCGTAGAACGCCCCGGTGTGCATTATCGCGGTAGACATTCTCCGTTGATTTCTGGCTATCTTGGTAGTAGCTTTTCTGCGACGTCTTCTGCTCTGCGAGATAAACAGACGAACTGAACTGACTGACGCGATCTAGTACTACCTGCACGGGGTGTCAATTCTCGCTTTTTTCAAAAAAAACCAAACTTTGAAAAAAGGACTACTCTTCTCAGGAAGCACCGTCGTTTGCACTTTTTCTTCTTCTCGTCGTTATCACTGGTTGATCACGTTGTAGCTTATTATTGCTTTTGTATTTGTTGAAAATGCACTATCTATTGCCAATCTGCAAAGAATGATTTTCGATTCACTGTACACTATTGCTCATGCATTTATATCTTTTTTTTGTATTTCTTCTTCGCTCGATTGCTTCGGATCTTCGGAACTAAATTCTTCTACTCTTCATACAAAAAACCACTCTTCTTCTTTTTCTGCAAAGAAAAAAAGAAAGAAATCAGTAATCACTTTCAATTTCGACACAGCACAAACGGACTCGTTTTTTTCCCCGTATTTTCTCGAAAGCTTGTTCCACAAGGAAATTTTTGACCCGGAATGCAAAAACCAGAACAAACTCTCCGTTTCTGTACGATCGAGTACAGATTCTTTACTCTTTTTTTTTTACTACGTACGTTTTCCAACGAAGGTGCGATTCAGTGCAGTGCGTTTGGTTTCGAATCTCGCGGGGTTGGCGGAACGGAATAAGCCAGGTAGGCAAAACTTGTTTCCAACAGAAATTCAAACAAACAAAACGAAAAAAAAACTTCACGCGAAACTAACGAAAACTACTCAGCCATCAGTGTTCTCTGTACAGGCAGAATTTTACTCTTCGACTGGGCTGATATTTTTTAAGTTTCACACTGAACTTCTGTGAGTTTGCTGTTGTTTGCACGGGACTCTTGGGGGGTGTGAATCAAAGTTGGCTACCTCTACTCTGTACGCCGCTCGTTTCAAAACTGACTCGAGTCTGCCTGGAACGATGCGTCGATATGCCAAACAAGCCAAACCGCGCCGACTGCTGACTCTGCTGCTGGGGCCTACCCGTGCACGGTGCACACTCTCGCTCTCTCCCGCTCTGCTCGAACGCCGAATCGAAACCGAAGTCGGGCCCAGTGATGCCACCGTTTTCATCGGCATTTCAATGTCCACACATATTTTTCGATTTTCAGGTACAAAAATCTGTTGTTTGATGATTTCCCAAAATCTGTTTGAATTTTTATGTATTTTTTTTTAATCTGTTATCTATAAATCAAAAATTGTCCAAGAATAGTAAAAATCTGTACCATTACAGAATAATGCGAATGTGTGGCAACACTGACGGATGCGAGAGAATTTTCTCTCTCGCAGAACGAGCAACACAGCGCGGCGCAGTCTTTCGTGGTGGTAGGGATGACAGTTTCCCCTCCGTCAAAGTACATACACGAACGATCGATGGATGTTTTTTTGGTTTTTTTACTGCTGCTGCTGATATGCGGGAGTTGCGTTTTGTTGATGGGGTTTGTTTTGTGTTGAATGTTGTTTTTCTTTTTTGCTCGACAGAGAGCATGTGTGACGGCGGTTGATGGTGTGAGTGATTCTGTTGTTTTTTTCCGACGCAAATAATTCGAGAGAATAATTTATTTATTCTCTCTCTCTCTCTCACGGTGTTTTGTTGTGTTTTGATTGGGATTGATTGTCGCTGCGGGGAAGATAGGCCGTACTGGGTAGGGTTTACGATACAAATTTGCATGAGCACGTGGTCGTCAGGGCATATGAAATTACCACGATTTACTGTGGTTATTATACAAATAAAGAATTATTGTATTAGATTACTGTTAGATTGATGTTGATACCGTTCGTACTCTGTTCGACAAAAGTGCAGAAATTGGACTCAACCAAATAAATCACATAAAAAATCAAAATAACTGCTACTTAGATTTGTTATTCACTAATATGACTGATGATTTCTGGGTATCAGAGTCACCTGCCCCTCTTTGGAAAAACGAAGTGTTCCACACTCCACATTTATACATGGAAAAATTGGTGGGGTTGTGTACAAGACACGATCGCAGGGTTGACGTAGACTACGTTAAGCTGTGTAGTGAAATTCTCGTGCAGTTTTTCTAGATATTGATTTAAAATACAGTAGAAGTAACCTATGATTTCGGTCCTATGTACATATTTTGGATTTCCTACTTAGTAAAACTTGGTTAATTTCAGGACCTCATAAAAATGCGAGAGCATATTCTATTTCATTTGGTTCCTAAATTACAATCAGATATGAGTAAGGCTTTCTTCAAGTGATTCATTGAAGCGTCCAACAATAACCGTCATGATGGCTGACATTTCCTATCACTTCAAGATTTCTAGGACACAAATCTTGGATGGTTGTGACATCACTCATGAAATTGAAATTCCTTGTGCACTGTACTGCAACAATCGTGAAGTTCCAGTTTCTTTGTTATAAGTTTTGGGAGAGCTGGAATCTGTACTCTTGAAATTTTTCTATGGTAATGAGATTGATCCTCAGCGATTCAACTTCAAAACGCTAAAAATAAATGCACACACAAAAACGGAGTGCACAATTTTGCATCAATGTTATGCAACATTTCATAGTTGATCGAGATCTGGGAGGGAGAAGCAAATACTACACACAAAATCTAATAAATCAATCACAATATTGCGCAAGAAAATTCTTGGCAAATAAAAATTATCAAGTAATTTGTTCCCATAATGAGGGGTTTCGGTTTTTCGTGTCTCTGTTGTTTACGTGTTACCGTCGAATGACTTAATGCTTGTGTAAACTTGGAGTTGAAAAATCACTTGTAGAGACTCGTAACGAATCAGCCAAAATGAAGTGTCAGGTGAAATACTGCGGCCGGAACAGCATGAATTATCCTGGATTGGGTTTTTTGCGCTTTCCTACTGATTATATCACAAGATCCTAATGGATTAAGTTCTGTCGGATGGATTCCGGAACCGGCGAAATTAAACCAAGCTCGCGAGTCTGTAGCGTGTGTTGACGGTACAAGTGTTTTTCATTTTATCAATGTTGCCATGATCTTTTTTAATTATTTGCAGGCCCATTTCTTGGAGGACTGCTTCCGCGTCGATAAAAATGGGAAGAAAACGAAAAAAAGATGCCGTTCCGTCGATTGAAGCTTTCTTGCTACCTCCTGAAGACGAACCGGAAGAGAGCGATCGGTTGTTGGACTTTTATAAATCCCGTCCCCTCTACTCTTCGCCAGCTCTTCTGGATCATAACTACGCGAACTTTTCTGCTGTGGTGCTTGAATGGGTTGCTTTTGGTGATGAAAAAGATGATCACCGAAGAGGATTCAGACCTGGTAGTCGTCAAAAATTCTTTTTACAACATGCACGACAGAGAATATTTGTCAGGATTTATGGATCACTTGAACAACGCAGAGCAACCTTCTTCAACGCAATCTACAGCGATCCTGGAAGAAACTCTTGATTTTTCGAAAGCTGAAATATCAACTATGGCGAAACAGATCCTTCTAAATTTGAATAATGCCGAAACTAACGCCTTATTTCACATTGCAGGATATCTAATGGGAAGCATAAGAAAGAACAGCACTTCATGCTCTTACTATATACAAGATTGTATAACTGTGATTCCGTTTGATAAAAGTTATGGCAAATTCTCATGTTTACTAGCAAATGCGAGCGGAAGGGCTCATGCCTATGTTTCGAAAGAAATATTTTATTTCTTTACGTGTATGAACTCAATTTTCAAAGAAAATTTCACTGACAAGGCATCAACTAACAGAAGTGTAATCCTTCAGGCACAAAAGACATTGATGTCGCTGCCGCTGCAAATTCAGAATTGCCATAATATCAAATTCAAGCTTGTTAAAAGATTTTTGCTCTTCAAAATTAAAACTAACAGAGTTCGTAAAATGAGGAAAAGAAAATTTGATAGCCGAAGTATGTTGAGTTGATTTGAGCTGAAATTTTGTTGTTACCAACTGTTATGAAATGATGAATAAATGTGAATATTTGAAGAATTTCCTTTATTTGTCAATAACAATACATCACATTAACAAACAATCCCATAAAGATGGTCAGATATAGACATTTGAATACCCGAACCAAACCCGTACCCAATTCATAAAAATTTCAAGAACCCGAACCCGTTTGACCCTTGTAATTAATGGAATTAATTTAATTACGGCTACTTCCTGTGCCGGAGTTAAAGTTTTTGCGTGCCCCTCGATGCTACCCGTACCCAAATATACCCCTTACCCGATCCGAACTCAAAAATATTTTCTTCGTATACTCGTACCCGACACGAACCCGAAAATTTAGAGTAACCGTACCTGAATATCTCTACAACCCCCTTCATTTTGAGAAAACTATCAAATCTACGATATAACATGCTTGATACACTACAATTTAGCTAAATTGCATACCGATTCCTGAACTGAAGAAACGAAAATTTTGCAGTGCAAATTGTTTTCAAGCAAGAAAATATTTTGTATTCGATATCAATACTTCCCATTGATTGATGTTTTGTACTGCTGGCTCCCACTGACAGTTTGTGACAGCTCATTTGTGGCTTCCCTTGACATTCACATTTTCTGAGTCTGTTTCTCCCTCCCAGATCGAGATGATATCAATTAGCCATGAATCCCTCCGATAAGTTCTCGGTACATCTTTTATCTACCGATTGAACAAATAAAAAAAAAAATACTAAGGCTGTGTTCCATTTGGAGAATTTTCGCTTAGATTTGACACTTTGAAAATAAATTAAGATGTTCGAAAATCCCTCTGTTGTACATCGGCCGATTTTCGAGAAAGCGTCTGTCAAATTGATTCCTTGTCTGTCAGAAATAAGTCTGCTGGAATAGCAGGTTTATTTGAAAAAATTTCCATCTGTCAAATTTAAGTAAAAATTCACCAAATGGAACACAGTCTTAATAACTTGAGCACAGAATCGTTTCTTGTTGTATTTGTCGTATTAGATGCTAGATAAAAACTTCATTTATCGATTGTGTGCTGAAAATACCTGGGCCGAGTGGATTCAAGGAGAAAGTCGACAAAGAGAATCTTGTCAGTGTTACTTAGGACCTAATGCAATGTTTAGCTTGAAATTTTTTGCTTAGCTGTGTAGCAATGTAAACAGAAAATCGATGAAGAGAATCGAACATTACAAGTAGACCCATTTGAAAGCTCACTGTCGAATTTCAGAACCTACCACTGAAAAAAAACTCGACGGTACCTCTATTTATGCTAAGAGATAAGCATTGCAAGTCCCTCCTACTTGAAGAATTATGCAATCGAACGGCTGGCTATGCCTCGCCCCCATCAGCAAAAAAAAACTGGGGTTGTATAAACCGTTCTATAGCATAATTTTCCAAGTAGGAGGGACTTTCATAGCTAATCTAAAAGCATAAATAGAGGTACCGTCTGATAATTTCAGTGCTTGGTAGAGAAAACTGTAATATGTGTAGGAAAATCCTTTTTATCACCACAGAAACACCCCGTTCCCGTTTTCTTATGCAAAATAATGAATGTGCGTTCACAAAACACACGAAATCTTAAAAAAACCATATTAAGAATTTTTTTTAATTCAATCAATAGATTAAAGATGTACCGAGAATTAAATGGAGGGATTTCAAGCTAAAATGTTCTGATTGCGAAATATTGACTATCAATACCGAAATTTCGCATAAATGTCCAACCCATTTTGTGTGGTGTGTGCTGCTGCCTTTCAGTGTTGCCCAATGATTAGGGAACTTTCATAAATAACGTAGTAGTTGAAGGAGGAGAGGGGTTTCAGAAGTTGAGACCGGCCATGTATTAGGTGTATTGCAAAACACGCTCCGAGGGGGAAGGGGGGTTAATTGGTCCAAAATATACGTAATCTATGGATGGCCCTAATTTTACTTCCAAGGCTGTGTCGCAATGGGTGAGTTTAA